GATTCTTTGTTTATGGAAATCTAGCCAGTGCTTGACAGATCATTCAACGAAATTTTTCTTCGAAGTTTCGAGAAGTGTTCCTGGAAGTTGTCCGATCGTTTATGTAATTGTTTACTGAGTTATTTAGTCATTGATTAACCTATACTGAAGTATTGGATTAACGTAAATGATGTGAGCTATGACGACCAGGAAAATCGTGGATCTATACCAACAGCAGTTGACGAGCATTTTAGTGGTGACGAACGAAGCTGACCGTTTAAGAACTGCTCGTAGGATTGTAGAAGAGCATGGCGTTGACCAGTCAACAATCGTTAGCATTCAAAAAGTGAACGAATGAGTGGAAAATCCCAGAGCACAAACGTCCTCTGACCTACATTTCTGTTCCTTTGGGATGCTACCGGCATTTGAAGGTGAAATTGCACCAAATAATGTTGTGGTGGCAGGAATAATTTGTTGCTAATTCCCAAATCTGGGAGGAATGATCGCAGCAAAAAGTTCTTCAACGAAATAAAAGAAATACATCAAAAGTTAAAGCTTTGATCATTGGGAAAGGGCCAAACTTTCTGAACGGTAGTGACCACACCTATGGTATCCAACTAGAACTGCAAAATTGGAGGAGTTCGGCTACGAAGCGTTGCCTCATCCAACGACTCCACTGGACCTCTCGCTGAACGATGACCATTTTCCTCGAAAACCCTTCCAAATTAGAATCTTGAGAAATCAAAAATTTCTTCTTTTCCAGAGCTGTAAAATTTTATGTCACCGGAATAAATAAACTTGCACCTCCTTGAGAACAACGAGTGCAGATTCTAAAGGTTTCCTTTTTTATTAATGACGTCTTATTTAAGAGGAGCTGTAAAATCCTAAAACTTTTTCGTGTTTCGGTGCATTTGATTCAAAAATGTATTAGCAGTGCTCTGTCAATTATTTTTTTCAAAAGAAAAAACAATCAGTGATCTTTATGTTAAGCGTACCAGGCCGTCTACAAGGTGAAGGGATACAAGGGACCTGTTGGTAAGGGTTTTGTTTTTCCTTTCCTTTTTTTCTTAAAAGTTGTTTAAATGGCCAACTTTGGGTTCCACTTTTAGCACAATCGAGTAGCTTCTGATTAATTTAGGTCGCAATAGAGATTCAAATTAGGAAAACCACGAATTAGGAAGTAAGCTTGATCAAAATATGATTCAGAGAACGATGGTGTCTACGAGGTGAAAGACGATATACTGTTCAAGGATGGTAACCCGCTGCATCAATGTCACGGTACGTTAATGAGAAATCCGCATAGTGAGAATGTAACAACAGCGACCAGCAGCACAGTTGGAAGGATGCACAACCTACACACGCACACACACACACTGGTCGTTGGTTCGATCTCGCATCGTGAACTAAGCAATCTCTTCATCTCTACGGGCTTAGCTGATGAGTACCACACTTGTTTGGCGCGATAGAAGCATTGACTTAACACATCGTTTATTCTGAGCACATCGTCATTGGAATAAGTATTCATTCACCTCAATAATGCTTCACGATGTCGAACACTTGACCTTATCATTAAGGGAACATCAACACAGAGCTTTTTCTTCTTTAACGATCGTTGCCATCGCAATATTAAAATTTTTAGTACCATCAGCTCAAAATATTTGTTGTGTACTTTAGATCAGTCTTATAGGAAAGAATAGATACAGTGAGTATTTCAGGAAACACGCTTATGGTTCTAGATGACTATGGCATCGACCTAACATTGCCGAAAAGTGCGTTGTGAATATCATTCCGATTCTCATTCACATATTAGTCATTTGTTTTTAATATCTTTCGAGATTTCAGAGTATCCACGACAGCTATTTCGGTTTTTCCCGCAAGTCCTGGAAGGAATTCTCTATGTCGACGGTCTAGCGGTAGCCAAGAAAGGTATCCCTGCCTGTAGTTGAACAGCTCGTTCAGTGGTGAATCTGTCGTTTTTCAGTTGGTGCGAACACTAAGAGACTCGAAGGTACTTTCACGGTTGGCGATGGGAAAATCTACCGGAATGGAAAAGTGGTTGGCTGAGGCGGTTCGTTCTGCAAGTGACGGCGATACATTCGTGACGTCACTCGTTGACACTGTTCTATTTTTATTATGGTTTTTCTTCATATTTGGAGATAAATGGCTAGGTTCATGATGCTGACTCTGACGATAATTGTGGACACACCGCCGTGCTGGTTGTACACAATGATTTTTCTTGATAAACAGTCGACGAAAAGCCTAAAGGCCTAGCTGGGTCAAGAAACTGACCTAATTTCTCAGAACAGAATGATAATTAGAAGTACCATCTCATCCTTGACGTATGCACTATGTACGTTCTCTCACTTAACCAAATTTGGTGCTAATAAGTCTAGTTTCCTTTCGCTTCTTTTTTAAACCTGATTCTATGCTTGTGGGAGATCATTGACTATGAAACAGATAGAAAAAATAGTTACAGAAAAAAAATGGATGAAAATTTAAGGGCGTAAGGAACCAAACTTCGCCTGCTGTGCTGAGCATGCTCTATCGGAGATAGCTCTCAAAGTTTAGGGTTTTTTTAAGAACGAAGAGGACAATCAATTCAATTCACGAACTCAGTTTAGCTAGGATAACATTGAGTTCAAACAAGTTTTTTTGAATTAATACGTATTACTGATATTCACTGATAAGCTAATAAAAGGTTGATAAAAACCTCATTTGGGCAATGTTTTGGTGGCCTTGCTTTCCTCAAAGCCGGATGAGTCCGGGTCGATTCCACACGGCTGCTTCTTCCTCCGATGTGAGCCTTCATGATCGCATCGAGTCGAATTCAATAGAGCACCGCTCAAATGCTGTAACCTTATTAGACATCGTTCTTTTATATAGCATGGTTGTAGATGCTGATTGGCCATTGATGCTGATCGTACGTTTTTCTCTTGGCAATCAAGTTCGAGTTCGATCCAGCTTTAAAGAGGGCGAAGACACAGAAACGTTAGCCGACTAAATTTCTATCAACCTCATGCTAACTAGATTACCTCAATTGGTTAGCTAACTCTCAGAACTCGGGTATGAGTTTCATTGAAAAAAGTCGCTCTACCAGCTGCTTAATGACAATCCGAAACTTTCAAATGTGGTTTTAAAATTCACTGAAATGAATCTGTGCTGGAAATTCTGAATACGGTTGGGATAGCGCCTGCACATCAACGGCGAATGGGGGACAGTGTCGTCTTGTCGTTGACGAAAAAACAATTATTGAACAGCTTCGGCGGAAAAAAATTTACCACAAAAGCTCTGAAAAAAGGATGTGTAAAACCACCCGTAGGGCTTGGACTAGTCTTGTGTCACGTCGGAAAATTTATGTACATTCAATGCTTTTTATTTAAGTTGACTTTTATTGCTAATTGAGATAGGTGTGTTTAGAAGGTCAAAGAGTAGATTGCTCCTGATAATGTGTGGGCCATATACAGATCGTATTACCAGCAGAGGAATCTTCTGCTGCATCAGTTGGTATTTACAGTGATTTGGTTACTTTCTGGCTATTTTGTTCTGTAATGCTGCTTTCCAACTCCTACTTCACGAAGAAGAAAGCGAGTAGCCATTTGCTCAGGTTTTAAATTTTATCTAAGTAAAAGCAAAAATTGGAATTGTAGTGGATTCGTTCATGGTTTCTGGATCAGCTTAGCTGATAGCTCTGATCTCCAGCAATGTTTCCGACAGACGCTCACACTGCTTAGCAATTTGATACGTATGCGTGCATGACCCATAAGCATTAAAAACGCTAAGATAAAAAACTGAATGCATAACAGGAGTCAGTTCGTCATATTCGCATAAGTGCTCTCATATTACGTCCGAATTTCCGCCTCATTTGAGAATCGAAAGCTAACGCAATACGGACGAGTCTTGAAACGACATCATTCGAGGCTGCAAATAGTGCAGGCTCAGAAATCGCCTCTAAATGACACGCAATGAATAAGTGAAGGCGCAGGGTCCGGATTCGGTGGTTGTTTCCATGGATGCTCGAAACCGGGTCTGTGATAGGCCCTTCTGGAGAACGGGACGCGCGACGAGAGCTGAGTGGCGTGGGCCTCTCGAACACGACGAAGAGGTCTGCTCCGCCTGCTCACCACCACGGTTGCACTGATGTCCATATCGGCCCGCACCGCTGTCCACTTATGGATACTCGGAAACTCAAAAACCCCGTCAAGTTGTTTTTAACATGAAATTCTCACTCACTTCAAATAAGAAGTAGCTAGTAAACTAGCAATTTCCTTTCGTGTTGCACATTTTCAGAGAATTTAGGTTTCTACGGTCTCCTTCTTAACTCCTAAAAAACTAACAACTCCTCAGGATAGCAATGCAATCCAGATACTCGTGGCAAATATGCATTGATAAGTGGGACGGAATGCTTTTGCCATTTTTTGTGAATTTTTTGCCTTCTCAGCTCAATTTTGAAGTTCTTTTAGATACTGTAAACAACGTTTGGCGTGCTAACAAAAACTGTAATCACCTAATAAGTTTTTATTGAATTCATTTCGCTGCACCACGACATAAGAATTAGGAAGAAATCTCGCCTTTAGCTACGCTTTTTCAGGTTTCTAAGACTCACTTTTTTTTCGAGAAACCACAACTATTTCAACTCAACCCAGCTGCAAAATAATCCAAAGAACTGACTCAGACACTTAGAAATTCGGACATACAGGACTACGCAGCGCTGATCTGGCAATGATTTAGATCCAAACAACAGCGTTGTCACTTGAACCGGGATCGAGTCGAGAGCACTCGACCCGAAATCGCTTTTCCGGAAATCTCGTCCACAATGTGCGCAGTTTTTTCCTGGAGAATCCGTCGGCGTGGTTTTTAAGTCTCCTTTTTCTGCTGTCTATGTAGCATCAAAAAAATCTATTAAACAAAAACGTTTTAGAATGTGTTCATACGGGTTAATAATTGTCACTGAAAATGTGCCGCTATTTGTTCACAGTTGGAAAAGAATATTACTTGAAAATACTCTATATCTCAGTTTTTAGATGCTTTTCACCACGATCTGCGTCGTCCTGTGGTACACTGTGGCTACACTCAGATACCCTAACGAGATTACAGATACCCCGTTAGTACTGTGTGAACCAGAACGAATTATCATAAAGGTGTAGTTTTTCATTACAGTACTTCCTGAGTGTTTTATAGCCGCGGTTCTGATCACAAGCAACATCACAGAACGTCCTCAACCACTCTGGCATATATTTTATCCAGTTGTTTTCATTTATTTAACATATTTGGGAAGATGCGCATTCATTTCAATGCGTACGCTTCGAAAGAATTTTTGAGTTTTTAAACTGTAAAACCTTGTATCTAAACTCAAAGTGGGCTTTATTCACCAAAAGCAAAGTAATTAAAGCCTTCAGAAATTTGGCAATATTTCGATGAGCTCACATATCGGTTTTTCCCAGGTTTCTTTGTCTTGGCTTTTTTTCGATCGGCGAAGAGATTGAACAAGCGGAATTCAGTCCCGATGAAGTTATTATTGATATTGGCTGCAATCGTTATTATGTTGAAACTTTTAACATTTTCGGAAACTTGGAAAAAGCTGAAATTAATATAACATTTGAACAACCCATGCTTTACTATTAGAGCTCTGGAAGCGTAGTGGAAAGGCATCCTCCATAAGTTTGACAAGTTCCCAACTCTTCAAGTGTAGGAGTTAATGAAAAGTTACCAGCCGTTTCAAAAATGCATATCGTCAGAAATCTGTTAGAAGATTTTTTTTGTAAAAACTGAGCGATTCATGTAGGGCAAACGGTGGTGCCGGTGAGTTTTGAGTCTGCTCCATCTTCACATGACTGATTTTATTTTCAGATGGTCAACAGTTTATATTAGCTTTCTTGCTTTTAGATCCATACAACATCGTCGAATCCTTCTCATATCTATGCCGATAATTTCGCCGACGATCCTGACTGCTCGTCCCGAAATATGAACAAGGTCTCACTGAGACATGGGATGTGCGGAATGAGTACTGAAGAAACCGTGAGTGGTTTACTAAGGCATGATATTTGCCTTTTTAGGTTCATCCCTCAAGGAAACCTACAGTGTTATCGCAGACATGTCGTGAATAATTGATAGGAAATAATGGTGGGAAAACTGATAGGAATGATTAGCAACACCAATAGACCTAAGTCAGCTTAATGGATTAGAAGGTTGAATTCAGTGAATTGACCGCGAAGTTCGACTCCAGACTAACGCTACTCTCCGTGTGACCCCTTAAGCATTTGTCAAGGAAAAGCTTTCAAAAAAAAACGAGATAACAACCTGAAATTCATGTTTTTTGTGCTCATATAACTAAAATTGAAACTTGAGAACATGGTAAATTAAGTGGAGATGAAACTCGCAACATTTCGAGAATACCGCTGAATGCTTGTGTTACTCTGAAGATTGTGCCTAGTTTCAGAACTGTTAAGCTGTTATTACTTATTTACTTTACATTAGCCGTCGTCATATCTACTGTGCGGATTTCCGCACTTTTTGCATTCGATACGTTTTCGTCTCATAATCGAAAAGATCTTGAAACATTTTGCGTGTTGTTTCTGGTGATACTAGGGGATTTGGTCTTTGTTGAGAATGCCGTAGAATCTGGTCGAGACGGTTCCCTTTGCCGTCATGGAAATGGCGAGCTAAGACGTTCCCATGTTTCCGTTCTGAGATACTAAACTAGTAAATAACGGTGTATAACTATTACTAATTTTCTCACAGGACTCGTGTAGCGCCATGTTTAAAGATGCTCTGCGGTACACGACCACCCGTCACTGGTTCGATTCCGCACTCCAGGTTTACCAGGTCTTCCATCCTTCCAGGAACAACAAATTTCCATCAAAATTTTTTGAAAGGATAGTGGAGCTAGCAGCAATAGCACACATGAAAATTATGCTCGCTCTAAAAAAGTGTCATCTATTTGAATAGAGAGGAGAACCCTGTACTTTAATGTTTTTATCCACTGTATTGGAACGAACTGCAATGAAAGTAGCACTGAAACCTTCAAAACATGGCATAGGTTCACGGACAAAGAATATTTTCGTTCATGCAATTTTCAACATTTTTTGGATTCGGTTTTAACCAGCTCAATCAGAAAATTAATGTTTTCGTACGATTGACAAGCATACTTTGATAGGACATCATCCTATATGAGATGCCGAGTGAATACGTTCTTCAAATGAGTGCAGAATGGGAGATATTTAAGCTTGAATCCATTTATAAAGCCCCAAACATGAATAATGGAAAGTCGTTGATCCACCGAAAACGATACAACATGTTCGAGATTGGTCGCTGTCATCCTCAGCGCACCCACATCTCATCGCATCGCATCAGCGGGAGGCGAAAGGCGATGTTCATGACAATGTCAATCATCTTTCTACATATGGACGAATTTGTGTAGTAGATTTTCTATCGTGACGATTCTTTTACAGGACAATCCTTCTGGCGTGATACAACGAGTGTGCATCTCCGTCCAGTTGCACCCACTCTTCGTCACCGACGCCGACAGAAGTTATTGCGCGCAATGTGTGTACGTCAGAAGCCATGTGGTTGGCGACTTCGAATCGTCACTGGACGTCAGGTGAGAATGTAGCGCTTCTACTGAAACATCGTACGTTTCTATAGTGAAGTAATGCGCTCAGAATGTGATCATAGCTTTTTTTTCGCACTTTATCATTATTGTAAGAAATCATGAACTGGCATGATTTTGGTGTGACGTAAATAATTGAGTGGACAGAAGAGAGCAAATAGGAGAAAAAGTCCAATAAGTTCTTCAATAGTGACGAATTTGATGCTTGTCAGTGAGTCGCTGCCGACGGAACTTGCGCCGCAGTTCGACGTGGAGGCGATGCCGAAGTGCTCGTATACTATCCGGAAGGGCTCGGAGAGTGGTCCCGAGGTGCACTATGCCGTCGTCGGCGAGAGCGTCTATCACGTCTGGCGGTGTCCAGGAGGTACTCACACCGCTTCTTCCTCCAACCCGGCGTCAGCTGGTTGGCGATGACCACCGGGAGCCTACTTTGGCGAATCATCGCTTTCATTTTTTTTTCAGTTTCTTGATAATTCATCTAACTTTGGCAAGTAGCCGCTAATATTTTTCACTCAACTATAGAAAGTGACTATTCATTTCTACCACACTATATCTCCGCTTTTTTCTACTATTGCTTAATCGCTCAAGTTGATAGGGAGACCATCATTATTTTTACGACTACTATCATTAGTCCATTATTACTGAGAGACAATTGAAACGAAAAACCCACAAGGTGAAGGTGGTGAAAGCGTTAGCCCCCTAATAGCGTATTCTTTCCTCACCGCAGACACCTGCTGTCCGGAGTTTTGCGAATATCTCAGCATCATTGTTATTGCCCGTTATTATTTACACATTTTTTATGGGAAATATAGAATTTTGCCATAATTTAGGAAGTGTACATTTATTAAATATTTGCTTATATATCTATTTATTCCACATTCACTATCAACCATAACAATATCCCTGTTAATCCTATCAATACTCTCAGGCTTCTCATTTATTTTCCTCGCTTAGTTATAGTTATAATTATTATCTTAGTTTCCACTGATTTCAGAGAATACCGGAATTCTCGTACAAAATTGTTTCGTCGAGGACGGTCAAGGTAACAGAATACTCATCATCGATCAGAATGGGTTAGTTACCTCCACTGGCAATTTCAGTGAGAATTCAAGGAATGTAAAAATAAAGTGCCAAAACTTCTTCTTTGCGAAAATGACGAAATGTTGACAAAAATGCGGCTTAGTAGTCGACAAGTTTTTCCATCGTGTACGAAAGTTGGATTTATTCCAAAAGCATGGAGTGGTAAACAAGAGACCATGGAAGGCGCCGTAAGGTGTGGAACACGAGTCGATTACCAATGACCAGCAGAAAAAGCCGAACTATAGAAGGAAAACTACAACAGAAACAGCAAGGCGGTCTGGCATTCTGGAGGGCACTTTTGCCAGGTTGAGTCACCTATGATTCGTCGTGAGAGCGGCCGAAAATTACGTGTCACCACCAGTGTTATAACAGAATGATTCTTATGCGTACAAAACTGTTGGACTATAAGAGAAATAAAAGTCAGAATATCAATATATCAATATAATCAACAGAATAGAACTCCTATAGGAATTTACCAGATAGTGGTTGATTCGCTGATCCTCAAACGCGGGTGCATTCCGCGTGGAGAAAATGAGATCGATCACTGAACTCAACGTGTATTGACTATTGAGCCCCTAAGAGAACTATGCCCTCTACAATTTTCGCTGCACAGTTCTGTCCTTTCACCTACCTTTACAGTCATATCTACGCTTTTTTTGCCCTTCTACACATTCTCTATCGTTTACACTTGCATATTTTTGAAATATATAATTGTGGTGATGAGAAATGTCTCATCTAGCTCCGACTACGATGTTATCAACTTTTGATGGTAGTTTTTACAATATGAGCTGATTGCGCTTTCACATCTCTATGGATCTTTGGATCTATAGATTTCCATCTATATTTAAACAGAACGGAGATACGAATCCGCAGCGCTTCCGAATTTACGGTATGTAGAAGGTGCACGTTAGGCGACGATATAGTCTCTGCAAGTGTTATAAAATAAGGGCCACTTTCATCTGTAACCCAATATACCTCGCCTGGTAACAAATTTTGAAAAAATAAAGGTCTACTAGTGTCTACAATCCTTCAAACCATAAACATGGAGCGTATCCACGGTGAAGACTTGAGGACTCCTTGCGAGGTTATCACAGGATTCGAAGGAGAATCGGCTCAACAAGCAATCAACGAAATTCGTGAGGAAGACCAAATCCTCAAGCAAGAAGGCAAAAGCGAACAAACATCCAAAACGCATATCTGTAGACCTTCGCTGATGATGGATACGAGTAGACGAATCGAATGCGGGAAGTGCTGGGATCCGCACCACATCTGATGTCGGGTCACTTGAAATAAGAATGGAACAGACTGGAATCCACAGATCTTTAAACAATATGAAATCTGAGTTTTTTGGACCTCGCCAAACACATTTTATTCATTTTTTTGGGTTAATGCATAGACAATATGGCACTCCCTTGTATCGTTGGTTTTTGCAGCCACCGTGCTTGCATTGGGAATTCTCAAAATCCAAATTTCGTTCCCCGTTTTTTGGAAATCGTACTGCTGAATAAATTTAAAATCGAAGTATTACCTTATAAAATTGTATCTATAATTAAGCGATACAGCAAATTCTGTTCTATAAGCGTGTGAAGTTCTCAACCCGACCGCTGCTCTAATAATTGAGAAATTATCGTTTGACCTCGAAAAAAGGTTCGTGGCGAAAGGGTCAAGGCTCAACGGGAGCGCACTCTGTGCGTCTGACTCGGCAAATCTTGACACTCTCCTCATCGGCAACAGTCTTTCGCTGCGGAGTTGACTCGTCCGAAAGAGTGCAGCTTTTTGCACGTTATCAATTGCAGGGTTCAGATTGCTGGCCACCATACTTGGCACAACATCTCTGTTGAAAACGCCCTGTTGGGTAGCTGACTGAACACAAGAAACACACCAAAAGGCTCTTTGTACCAAAATCAACAGCCGGAGAGGAAATGCATTGGCATAAATGCATGCGGGCCACTCTACTGTAACCCATGCATTTATATCACTGATGTGTTATGTGCGAATGCGTTAATAGGACTCCACAAAACTAATATTTTACAGTACCAATGCAAGCTCATCTGGCACAAAGACAACATGTGAAGTGGATTTTTTTCCTCCGTAATCTGTACAGATTTTCCTTTCCCAGTCAATTTTTGAAGCACATGTACACGGTTGAATTTTGTCGATTTCTGATAAAGAGTCGTAATTGATATACAAAGGTTCGCTATGCATTAGTTGGCTAGACAATTTTTATATTGAAGCCCTGTACTTAGGTGTGGAGTCGATCAATATGTAATGGGAACACCGGAGTACAGCCCGGACTTGACGTCTGCATTTCAGGTAGCCCATGTCGTTTTTTTCTCCACATGGTCCACCAAAAATTATTTAAAATACTGCTTATTATTACGAAATTGGTGGTTGTGATAGATTTTCATTGCTGATAGTGAAATTCCTGACTGGTTTCGCTTTTTTCAATTTCTCTTAAGGTTCCATTGCCCAGTTTTGATCAGTATCAGTATTTCGCAGAACGTATAGTTCCGAGTGCTTTGATCGTTTCCTTCTACTTCAATTCTCTCTTACAACGGTCTTATAACTGTAGTTGTTTTCTCCTATTTAATAACACTATTTGTTGACAAATAACACTTTACGGGAATATTAGAATAACGGATATAAGTAGTTTCAACAATTTAGGAGACAAGTGTCTTCAAATTCGCTCAGAGAACAATCACCCGCTTCATCTGTCAAATCCGAATATGTTTACGAAGTGATGATTGCGAAAAGCTTACGGTAGGCGGGAGTTTCACCTTTGGAAAAGAAACGTAGAACACAAGTAAAAACTTCGAATTTTACAAATAAGAGAATGATGAGATCCTTATGAAGTACTTTATAGGTTAAATTTTTCTGTTCATAAGTTAGGGACTCAAATTTATTTCCGGAGCAATAGAATAGAAATGTACCATGCGTTACCATGATAACGCAACAGTGTCCTGCAAGATCAAAATCTATGACGTTGGGGTAGCCACCTCCATGAGGTATGAACAGTTTTTTTTACAAACAGACAGACTTAGGAACATCCTTTGCTCAAGTGAATGAACAAGGAATTCCCTAGATGAGCCCGTCTGTCTCCAGCAGCGATAGAGAAAGGCGCTTAGCCGCCCGCGAATCAGACGACTCGTTTCAGCCGCCCAGCATCTGCCCCACTCTCCAGGAGCGCCTCGCGAACGTCAAGCCTCTCCGGGACGAGCCGCTCGACGGCACGAAGCGGATCCTGAAGCTCGAACAGTTCGATTTACCTTCGTTACTATTCCTCGTGTTATCGTTCATCGACTTTATAATTATATTAAAAACTATTTACGAGCCTTATTATTCCTATTATTATTATTATTATTATTATTACTAATGTTAATACTATTGAATAGCAAAATAGCACCGGAGGTCAGTTGACAAGTCAGAGGACATCTCATCTTAATTTGTGGGAAATACTGACACTAATTCCAAAAGCTTTGATGTTGATTTCGAACGGCCTTGGCGTAGCAGCAGAGAATGGACATCATCAAACACTACAAATCTTTATGTCTATGCATTACTTTTTTTTAAAGTTCATTACTTTAACAAATCAGCAATGGCGTAATCGTCAATACTTACACAAACTCTTCGAAATGACTCGACCGCACATTAACGCGGACCTGTGGTGTCCACAGATGTTCCTACCAACATCCGACCATCTTTAGTGAGGTCGTGGTGCACATGACCCATACAGTCGTCTTGCTTTTCTCAAATTTCTGAATGGATGAGTTTAGCGGATTTGACTCCGGGCTATCAGGGGACAACTGATGTCAAGTAAGGTCTTTCGGGAAATTCATCATAAGATGCGCCACAAACATTTTCGTTCCATGCGCGACCACAAATAACTTCTTAAAGATCATACTGCGGTTCTCCTATTCCTACAGGAAGAGCACTCCTGTGGAAAGTTGACCTGTTAGATTTGTTGTTAACGTTCACGCATTCATTCATGAAAAATTAGAGAGATTTATTTATTTTAGTGATTCCTCTTCTGACCATCACTCAATTTGAAGCACTTAACTTTATGACAACCTTCCTCATTCACAAACATCGATGTTACAGCGAAAGATTAGGAGTTGCCAGTATTCTTGAGAACTAGGGAAATTTCAGAAACTAGAGAAATTCATTCCGATCACAAAACTTTTTCAATACTGCGCATTTTAGTTTCCAGAATCTCCTTGGATTTGCTTACTGGGTTCCTTTTAGTCGCTCCCTAAGTCATTGAGGGTATGGTAGTTCTTGGCTTCAAACTCCCCTTTGACTACCGTTCGATATATAAGCGAACTATTCGAAAACTTCTGGTATTGCCATTGTGTCTAGCACATTCTTTTTTTACGATTTCTTTTGTGGTACTACATGTTTCATGATAAATACGTGGATCCGTCTAGGGTGTACTGCAAGAGGATGGCCGGACTTTCATTTAATGTTAACAATTCTTTTTGTTTTACGGCCTTTTAGACAATTTTTAGTAGAGTTTTAAAGGTTTTTGCAATGTCTGCGGCAGACTCTCCGCTTACCGCTGAACACCTACGTTCGTTATGTGAACACTGTTATATAGCTGCAGAAGACGAGACTGAAAAAGAGAACACTTGATGTGAAATGAAATGGAATACACTGCAAACAAAGGAATTGACTCATACATGTAGCACAAATGGTTAGATATATAAGCAATGCACACGTAGGCGATGGTTCGACCCTGCGCTCCATAATGACTGAACCCCACAATCACTCCTATGATTGCCAACTTGGTACCAGACTTGTCTGGGAAGACAAAAGCACTGATTTGATATATCAGTAGGCCCTCAAAACTTATTCTACAGGCCAAGGCTTATTATAACTCACGTAGATATTTGCCGTTGCTACCTTCTTTCAGCATTCCGATTTTGAGATTTTGCAGGTAATTTTCAGACCAACCCCATTCTCCGTAGATGAAGACGTGTCTCCGAAAAAAGCCAATCCTCCATCAAGCAAACCAGAAGATATTGTCAGACAGAATACCACTGTCGGAAGTATATACTTCGGGTAGGATCAAATAATTTTTTTGAATCAATAGCCACAAAAGATGTCTAGTTATTCCAGGGTCTTTAAGTAAAGCTTTGTAAAAGTGTCTGTGGTCTCAATCCGAGACCAATTATACCTTAAACAAGAAAGATGGAGCACAGTATGCCACACTGCTGCAACGTCCCGCAATATGAAAAAACGAGAATAGAAAATGGTAGATATAATGAGATACTAAGTGATATACTTGGTGACCCGCATAGCTCGAAATGTTCGAAGCACACTGAATATAAACTGTTTTAAGACCAAAATATTACATATTAAGTCTCCAACCGGTGTAGAACTCCAGCACCTTAATACACCCGCGACGACATCTAATCGGGTTTTCGGATTTCTTGCTGCGTGGACGACGCCTATTTTCCGGCCTTTGAGGACTTACTGGTTTTTTGAAAACGAACAATAATTTTTTGACAACTAGAAGACTTCATGGATTGGGAACATGAATGGATTGTAGAAAGGGGCTATGGGTATGAATAATGTCAAAGGTGCTATTTACTCGATGTCACTATAGTTCATCACACACATTACTGTCAGCATCTGGACGTGGTTTAGGGTCTATGGGGTTGTGGGTCTATATCTCAATATTTTTTGCACCCAGGCATTCCATACAATAACTATCATTTACTATAGCAATATAGCAGGCAATTAGCGCCCAAATTTCTGGTTAGTGAACCTGTTCGGAAAATGGTCTCTTGTATGTTTCTAAGTGCAGGATAGAGTTTTCCCACCGATCAATCCCAACGTAAGATCTGCATTCTACGAGCTGTCAGTTGAGAACAGAAAGTTTGGAAAAATAGTCTTATGTCCTAAAATAAAACACCGGAAAAAAATGAGTCCTGTAGGTGTCTTGTCACTGACATCCGGAAAACTATTATGACACCTATAGTGTTCACTCGTCGCGAGAGTGTTAATTGATTTCGTGAAACAGCACCACTATTTCGAACGACATAAACACAGGGCGCGATATAAAAGGAGAGTTTCCAAGAAAAGAGAGAAATGGCCAGAGCACGTTTCCTAAAAAATGAAAAATTAGTCCATAAGAATTGACATGGGGTGCCTCCATCAATACACCTAGTTTGGTACTTGAAACGTCTTCACTCTTGCAAGCCTAAGCTGAATTTCTATCAGAGTGGTGTTACGTTGAATACGAAATTGTTTGCTTATTGTAATCTTTAGAGGTCTTTGTACGTTCGTCGGTTGTCCCCGAAATCACTTAAAGACAACTTAGCAGGAAGATCCGTTCGTCATCGTAAAAATGTTGAATAGAGGAATGCTGACGACGACAACAACGACAAGATTCTTAAAGAATAAATTACAGCGAAGAGTCTACCGAACCATACTGGAGAGTAGAAGTACAACAAGGAATCTTATTACCTATTACTTGACGTCTCTTATTTGGTCTACAGGAACATTAGCTAAGTGCTAGTAGCTATAAAAGAAAAAATGCCTGAACGATTCTCTCAAAATAGCTCGTAAACAGGCAATTTCAGCTATGATCCGGCGCGTCACCGTCGTGAGCTTTCTGGACAGCGCTTCTCGACGTCGAATGGCTACCCGGAGATCGATCTTGTCGGCGAGTTGAAGGTTCTCGATACCGTCGAGGATGTAATGTATTTCGGTACGTCGAACATCTGACTACACATAATACGATCTTTGATGATTCCTGCCGTCTGCCTGTGTAAAATATGCAAATCGGTTCAGCAAGCATTCAACCAATGACGACAGTGTTGTATAAGCGCATTTGTAAATACAGACACACTGAATAATGCATAACTTTTTATTTACTGCCCATTATTCTTTGTGGCATGGTATTATGCCAAATACAACCGATGATGCAGAGATATTTTCAAGACTCTGACGCCATAGCCCGTGATTACACCCTCTGTGGCTCCCGTGTGTAGCGAAGTGGAGAATGTAATAGTAGCTGCGCGATTGTTTTAAGAACAAGAATAAAGATTCTGCGAAGCAAAGGGATCTCAAACTTGAGTAATTGAACCATTTATACATATTATTTACACAGCAATGCAATGGCGATCGAAACAATGCATTTGTACGATGTGTACGATAAATTACGAGTAAGGTGGTTCAGTGGGCAGTAATAGAACAGTTGACCCATTGCACTAACAATGATATACAACCATACGAAGGGGTTTATGAGAGTATGAGATACAATTAGGAATGCTTCTGTTTATTTGATAATACTAGTATAACTACAACAACGTAAAAATTTACATCACTACAGTATAACAATGTGATACTGATTGCGCGATTGCTTTAGCAATGAGAAAGAAGATTTTGCAAGGTAGAGGACCTGTAAACGATGAAAGTATTTGGAGAAATTATCATATTAACAACACATGATGATTACATCGATGATTGATGGCAACCTCAATGTTCTGATAATGTAAGAACTAAGACTTCAGTTAACATCACTTTGCCTAGATTAATCTAAAGAGTTGCAGAAGAAAACATTAATTGGGAAGGCAAAATGATGATGGAACGGCAACGGCGATCTGCAAGAGTCGTCAGAAGGCAAATAGCCGTTTTAGTGGGCTTGGCTACATCCAGACGAGTGGCGTGGATCGAGTAGTCAAGGCACGGATCGCAGGGTCTGGACACCAATGAGCCGTGCCCGGTAGCTAGCCTGGTGACTTGTCTGGTGGTTAGAAACAAATGCGAACCTAGGGTTGGCACGCAGGCGTTGTGTCAGGTGTTTTATAATACAATATGTTACATGCTGTGAACAACAAATACAAATAAATAATTGCTACACGACTGCACAACTGAGGCCCTCGTTCCGCCTTCCAGCCAATTTTTCATCCTAACGATTATATATATATATATACACATATATACATATATGTATATATATATATATGTATATATATACATGATAGCGTCTCGCCAAAATTATTTACCGCCACCCTCGGGAACGTCAGGCGAGCAATGGAATGGGGTAATATGGAAGTGAAAATAGATGGTCGGCAATTACACCGTCTTCGCTTTGCTGATGACAGCGTCCTTATAACATCAAACATTAGCCAGGCGGAACGTATGCTTGATGACTTTGATAAAGCCTGTGGAAAGACTGGTCTTCGAATAAATCCCACAAAAACGGTGTTCATGAAGAACGGATTGGTTTCGCATGCCCCATTCACGCTCAACGGAGCGAATATCCGAATGCTCCAGTTATGTCTATCTTGGTCGGGGAATCAACCGGCTTGGGGAACTTTGAAGAGCATCGAGGATGTAGTGAAGAGAACAAAGCCTGCCTTAACATATTCGTCAGAAACTTGGATGTTGCGTAAGCAGGATGAAAGGTCACTCAACGTTAACGAACGCGCAGTCGAAAGGACGATGCTAGGAGTATCCCGTTCCACACCTCGTTCCACACAAGTAATGGATGGGATCCGAAGCTCCGATCTGCGTCAACGATTAAAAATCAAGGATGCCGTTTTGTACGCCAGACAGTCGAAGATATGGTGGGCCGGACACCCAATGCGTATGAACCACAACCGATGGGCAAGAGCCGTTAGTGACTGGATTCGTTGGGAAGTCAAATGTACTGCAGGAAATCCACAGATGCGATGGTCAGTTTTTCACGAAAAACCTACAAGGAAAGTATGAAGCTCAACGAGTCCTTAGAGCGAGCAGAACTCACTGCGCTACTCTTACACGCGACGGGGAAAAAATGGAAGATTTACTGGCGCTCGCTCGAGTCACTCGACGATCAGCTGGGCTACAGGTTACAGGTGATACAGGTGCAATACAACCACAAGGATCCTGAGATATGAGCGGAATTCGGCACCTCAGGTTGGCTTCTAACCTTCTATGAGGAAAGTCGCGAGCTCGAAGTCCAGCTGATGTCTCGAGTTTTGCTCAAATCTCAGAGTTTTTGTGCTTTTATCATACTGAATAATATTCAAAGATTTCTTTAGAGGAGTAATTGGCCATTACTTCACTATATAGGGAGAATTCGCGCTCTGCTTTTTTATACATGTGAATAAGCTGAATACCTTTAACAGATACTGCGATGAAATTTCCTCTCGAAATTACATCCACAGCTTTTCTGTGCGCTGACTCTTTTGCCGATTGGACTCAGCTGTCCGCTGCGTTCCCTGTTCATCAATCTTATTCTTTACTCTATCTGTCTGTTACATCGTTCTGAATCGGTCTCTGCCAACTGATCAAATCTGCGTCACGAAAGTCGTCAATTTTTAGTAATAGAGATTTGGGATTGTCCTAGTACAGATGTCTCAGGGTGCTAGAGAAGACTACTGTCGGCCAACGTTCAACGGATTACACAGTAGTTCTACTCATTCACGGACCTGATCATCCTCATGGATTGTGGCTCCGAGATAACGAAACATATAACGGAAGCAATAGCAATTGAGTAGTAAGACAAAGTAAGTACATAGGTCGGCTGTAGATGAAAGGAAAAACTACAAAATCACCCACAAACTTTTCCCAAAGTCGTGTTTATTTGTTTTTAGGGGCATTACGAAACGTAATTTTAAAAAAACTAGGTACTTCAGTAGGTAATTGTCGAATAAAATTTCATATATTAAAGATTTCGTAAACGATCTCATCCAGTGTGCGTTCATCATCAATTTCATCGTCTCTACGGCCTCTATTGGCCGCGACAAGATTCTTTAAAATTGGAGAAATGCTTCTAGTCGCTAAGAGTTCATTTTCACAAAAAAAAAAACGGCTTAGTAAACACGATCATACACGTATCGTCGAAAACAAGCCAGACGCAATTTTATTGATTTTATATTTCTTTCTGTCATTTCATCTTTTATCAACGGCTCTTCATTACTCACTATTAACGCAGCAATTTGAGTACAACAACAACTATTTAAAGGAAATAGAAATAGAATGGAGTAGATAGAGAATGGTACAAGCTAGAAAAGACGCCAAAAGCGACATGAACGTTTCGAACTTACAATAAGAACGAGTTGTATATAATCGGGTACTATAAATATAACTCGAAGATTTTGTATCTCCAAAAGAAGAGAAATGATAATTTTAGCGTGGAAGCTGTAAGAAATAGTATTAAGCTTACGGTCATCAGACATACTAGGAATGAGCCTACGGTCGGCAGACCATGTACGTATGTTCGTGCCTACCTCCATTTATATTTGCCACTTGTTTCTATCGCTAGGTTTCACTGAAATCCTAAACATCACTCTGGTTTCGAACTGGTTCGTGCAACACAAAGATACATGTTGAATCGACTACTATTTCTTCAACTTGTAAACGAATTGAACACGGCATAACATTGACGCGCTCCAATCAGCTAAAAGCCCCAGAAAGAAGCTGGGAAGGTGGTGAGCTGCTTCGCCCGCAGAACTGCCTATAGAAGAAGTGCTTGCTTTGATTAGCTGGAACATAAGTGGAACAAACGTCCATATACACTATTGACCTCCTCATGGCGAACTTTATTAGGCCTCATTTAGAGCAAATAAACGTAGAAGATATCGTTTATTTAAAAGATTTGAGAAAGTGACTACTTAGTTGAAAATCTACTATTATGTACTGCTTTCGAACAAAATTTGTATTGAATTTGGTTAATTAAACGATTTAAGGAAATCTCGAATTTTAACATAATTGTAGAAATGTTGAGTGCTCGATGACTAGAGCACTCGAGAACTAGAGGACTTCGTTGTCTTGCAGAATTCACGTGTCCGTATCGCTTTAAACACCTAAGTAATGTTTGCAAAATACCATTCGATAGTATTAATTCACCCATAACCCAATTTCTCGAAAAAGACGAATGAAGTGAATTTTTTAAATTGCTTTGCGAAGTTGTTGCACAACAAACATCAAGGATGTTTTCGGAGAAATCTTGGTACTCTGCTGGGCGCGATCTTGGGTTCATCATCGCTTTTCTCAAAACACGCCCCTCGTCGAAAGAAAGCGATAAAAATTCAACTGCTGGGTTTTACAAAATTAGAAGCCATCCTGCCATAATAATGAAATCTGTGTCTCGTTGACAGTAATACGTAGATTCTAACCGTTTCTACCTCGTTTGCTAAAGTTCACTAATAAGCTGAGATGTTTTTTAAATGTGGAAAGCTAAACGAGATACAGCTGTGTATGAAGCATTCATGGCTCGTATCGCTGTCTTGTTGGCTATTCACTTGAATACGACGGAAACATTGTTCTTGCGATTTCAGAACGGAGTAGCAGCGCCGGCAGCTGCGTCTCGCTGCTCAGCTGCTCGCTGATCGCCACCGCGCTCCTGATCGTTCCCGTCCTGCTCGCTTCCGCAGTCCTCCTTTCCATGGGCAAGTCCGCCAACACGAGAAGCAAAGTTGTTCGATTCGAAAACTGATCACTTATAAATGTTAGTGTATAATTATTACCAATAATTCTTACAATAAAGCTATCTTTACTATTATTGTGAATTTCTAGTCTTATTTCACCATAGCATTTTGCTAACACTTGTTTAATTGAAGTGTATTAGTTATTAAAAAATTGCCTTTTATTTTATCTAAGTTTCTAATTCTTTTCTCGAAGTTTCTGACACATTTTTTCTCTACAGAAGATGTTTTATTCAATGCAAATGCGCGGCGTTAATTATAATGCCCGCATAATCTGCAAGGGGCTTATGTAGCGCAGTGTTTAGAGGCGCTCTGCAATACACATAAGTTCGACTCCGCACGCCAGGTTCACCAAGCTTTCCATCCCTCCGGAGTCGGTAAATTGGCACCAGGCCCGTCTGAGAGGACTGCAGCACAGACTCAATATATCGGTAGGTCACCGTGAGTCAATGTAGTCAATGTATAGGGCAGATATGCATTTAATCACCTTTAACAATGCTTAATGAAGTCGAATGCATCCCTCAAGAATTGTTCAATGCCGAGAGCTTTATCCTTCCATATTTTATCCGCATAATCTACAAGTAAGGTGCGGGTAGGCACAGTATTTGTAGTGCGGTTGAATATGCAGAACACTCTCGCTGGACTCCGCCTCGTGCCCGCGAAGCATGCCGCCGTCTGTGGCCGAAAATTATTACACTACATACCTGGAACCTCGTCATTCCTTCTAATTGATGTAAAAACGATGTAGCACGGACAAAAAGAATGCACTCGATCCACATTTTGAAACATTTGTAAAGAAAAACGAAGTCTGCAAATAGCAGGCGAGCCAAAATGGGAATGCGAAGCCCTTCGTAGATGACGGATTCCAGGAAACGAATCGAATTCAAGAAGTGCTGGAATCTGCACACTATCCATCATTGGGTGGTGTAGAACAAGATAATCCTACTGAAAGAAAGTTTACTGACGAATTGTGAAAAAAGTTTAAAATGTCGAGAAAAAACTAAAAGGAGAACAAAAAGGGCCCAATTTGTGAGATGTATAATTTTGCTTTATGATCGTATAGAAGCTCGCTGATTCTTCGCAACAAGCGGTATGTATCGCTCTCAAACCACAGGTTCAGTTGTACCTCGTTTTGTTGGAACCCTTTTTTATTGCGGGATGGAGATATTTACAAGCATCTCCTACTTTCCTGTTTTTTCTCTGAAACGTCGATCGGAGACCCCATATCCTAGCGAAATTACACCGATTCTTCTCAAGGTATGCCAATCCTGGTTTCCAGATTTTTCTCCAGGAATAATTCTAAAAGGCAAACAGACATTCGCAAACGTATCAAAATAATAAGCAGCTCTGAAATATGGAGGAGCATCCATGAAGCCGATAGTCCCAAAGCGCTTTCTGGTGTTCGTACATTGAGTTATTGAATAAGAGGGCATAGCAGAGCAACGACGGCCTGAAAGGATCTTCCTTTTTCAGATCTCCCTTATAGAGGGGTCTGATGCCGTTTAGTGACTAGCCAATGTTGCACGTCCCAGGTGACGGATGCGGGTGTCAATCGCGAGCCAAAAGCGATCTTTGCTTCCCTAAGGCGCAGATGGGAAGGGGAAGGACTCCATTTCTACTGCGCTGAATTGGCACGTACGTTATGTGTTTACAAGGACGTATTCATGCATGCGTGTGTGGGTGCGCTCTCGCTTATGCGGATTGTATTCTACGAGTCGATTCTGCCAAAAGCCTGCAATCAGGTTACGGTTAGGAGGCTGTTCGCCCCGAACAAATGAGTTCCTCGTCTACTTTGTTAGAGGATGACAAATTATCCGTGACTATATTCTGTACCAACGTTCAAAGGTAAGCAAGCTATACGTGGGTTATGAAAACTAAACACTGAAATAAATGGTTCTCATTTTCCTGACCCCGAAAAAGTTCTCGATACAGCAATTCTATGTCTGGAAGGAGTAATCTGCAAATACAGTAACGTACTGCACTTATAATGTTAGCGCCTGAATCCTTCACTGTAAACCAAACGGTGTAGACTAGAAAAATTGGTCATCATACTAGACGAAACGAGAAGTCGTCGTTCATTAAACGCCATCTATGTTCAAGAAAAAAATTCCTCGCGACATGCAACAGTAGAGGAGGAGGCGGCGATGGAGTCGGGACCCTTGTTAATACAAATTTGGCTATCGAACGTTTACGGTTGAAGAGATGTGAAAAGATACCGGCTTTAACAGTATTCATCGCAATCGGCGTTACACAAAGTGGTGACGAAGACAACCTTGAAGGGACTCATACAAATTTGTAGAGACACTACTTAGAACTACTTACCTTTTTCACGTTCATCATTGGCAATTTCGACGATAAGAATGGACACAGGAGAACGTCTGAAGAACGTCACATTGAAACCCACGGTTTAAAATGGAACCAGCTAGATGAGTGGCAGGGTGAGTTTATTATAACGACCAAGAACATTCATGATAACTCACAATTTTAAAAGTCTCACTCTCCACGTTACACATAGGAGTTTCCTAATAGATAGCACCATACTGTAATAGACCACAACATAGTAAATGGGTTTTGCTAAACCTATGTTGCTATTGTCCCAGAATTCTACACGGAATTAGACCACCGCCTCCGCGCAGCATTCCATTTCTTGTGGAAATGAGAAAAAGCCGCTAAATTCAAAAACCGAAGTCCCAGAACTACCGTAAACTGGAGCTTCTTCGATCGGCTGTTGGGAAGATGCCGTTGTCGATAACATCGACGAAGAATACGATCGGATCATTCAACATTTTCACGTTAGCTCTATGAAAGCTGAGAATTCGGAAGTCACCAAGAGACGTTTGTCTCCAGAAACACTCGAGCTGATACGTCAGCGTAGAATCGCACGAGCTGTAGGCAACCGCGAGCTAACGTCCGAACTTGCAAAACAATGCTGATAGGCCATAAAGGATTTGGTCTGCAGAGGCTAGGAAGGACATTTGCAAAGTTCACTGAAAATTCGCTATTTACAAAACCAAGGTGATTGCACTCCGAAGTCCAGACCAAATAGTTACAGGTTTCAGAAACGCAACGGAGAAAATCATTCACGTTTACTACTCAGATTTCTTCAATAACCACATCCTGCTGCCCTCACATGAAACAAAGGAGGGATATGTCGTTCCACCAGTCGTTCATACCGAAATCCGACATGCTGTTACCTCGGTGAGGATTCGAAAAGCACCCGATCCGCGAAGTACCAGGCGCGAACACCTGAAGAACCTTCTGCTACCCTTCATTGGCAAACTGAATTGTATCTTCACACGTTACCTATCAAAATGCAAGGTTCATCTTAAATGGAAGACCATCGAGGCAGTTTTGTTCAAAAAAATTATAGACCGCCATGACATCCGTAACTATCGGTCAATCGTTCACTGTCTGTCGTCTATTAACTCCTCATTCGAGTGATTCTAAGCAGCACTGACAGAATGCCGGACTAAAGACGGTCATGTAAGAAAGCGGCTTTTTAAAAAGCGTTCATTAGAATAGACCACACCCGTCTTCATCGACTTTAACAAGAGACACAACCATTTGAATAGTCAGGGTGTTGCTATCAAGTAAATGAAAATCCTACATGAGTTGTATGAGAATTTCACAACCGAAATATCGTTCTATAACGATGTATACACCGAACTAAAGCGAACTTAGACAAGCCGATAACATCTCGCCAAAATTATTTACAACTGCGCTCAAGAATGTTGTGCGAAAACTGAAATGGGCAAACTTGGGAAAGAGAACTGATGGTCAACAATTACAACATCTCTTCATTTACAACATCGTCCCTGTAACATCTATTATTAACACCAGGCGGAGCCAGTGTTGGCCGAATTGGAGAGGGTCTCTGGTGAGACTGGGCTTCAACTAAACCTCACGGAAACGATGCTCATGACGAACACCAGGTCCCCGCCTAATTGGCATCCACTCTCGCGGATTCATTTGTGTTTCACCTTGGGCAAGGTGCTTCTCATCAGATAGCACGTCTATTCCTTCATGAATTCGCACTTTCTTCTTCTTTTTTAGAGCGATTTTCGTGATTTTCATATCCTGCGCAGCATTTATGACCTGCTATACATCCTTCAGCTGTTTTAGAAATTTATGAGCTCTTGTGGTTAAAGAAAACAGAAAATCCGCCAACCATTCAACCACATTGGTGTCCTCAATTGGTAATTTTGCAAAATATGAAACATACACATTTCGGTGTTATCTCTATTTCCTTCCTTTTTTTCTTGTTCTCATTTCGAATTTTACAGCTGGCAAAGCCATACAATAAATATGAATCATCATAGTAATTAGAATGGAGTAAGAACAAACTACTGCCCAGAAATCGACCTATATAGTCTTGGACGATATAGATGTCAAACGAATGAAGCTTCATTTCCCACTTAAAGCTTATGGAATTTCTTATGCCACCCACCTAAAAAGAATCTGACGTCTTTCGGAAGGAAGGCCAACAAATATGGACGTGGGTGAATAAATCGTCAGAACCGACAACTGTTAAACGGATGAAAGGGTTCGTTGGTCCACTCCTCCAACAAATCTTCTATGTACTGCCGCATTGTCTCTTTGGTTGTTGGCTTCGAAGCATATTTATTTCAATCCCTACCTCTTCCCATATCTAGCTCTAGTCGATGAATGGACGATTATAAGGGGCCAGTGAACGAACATTATGATGCTTGTATCGATGAATTTATCGACAATGAATGTGTAGTTCACGTATATCTTTTACTTGAATGTACTAAACCACTGGACTCCCACAAACTATTCATAACCGACATTAGGGACCTGAAAGTAGGAGAGGCTAACTGGTGCGGAGAAACCCTAGAAACGACCTCGTACCGTCTCTTAGGAATTCTCGTACCGTCTCTTAGGAATTCTAGCGTATGGTACGAACACTTGTTTATCCATAATTCACGTACAGACAATTTTCGTCCATGTCCGTCAGAGTACTTATCAAACAAGACTGATGCAGACAATGCAGCAAATCTCTTTGTTTCGATTTCTTCCATAATTGCTATGGATAGAATTAACTTTAAGTGTTGTGCACTTTAAGTGTGTTTTATGTGGAGGTATGTGATTCACAATCATAAAGACTGTAGCACTGTAATGGTTGTGATTGCTAATGGTTGTAACTGCATGTAAACTGTGTGCAAGAACTGTACATTGATGGTGTTATTGGCTTTGATGACCATTTAAGGTTTAAAAAGTGCTAAATGTGAGCACTCCTGATTGTGAATTAAACTTATGAAGAACATCGTATAGGAAGTCTGAGATGTTAAAAGAATAAGAGTAACGACTATGTAATGCTGGCAAAAACAAATCCTGAAAACACATTGATCAATGGGCACTTTACGTGTACAGAGCATACACACTCTCCAGGCGTATCTAGAGAAAGCTGCTCAGTGGCTTCACATTCTCTCGTATCGATAAAGTATCCAAAATAGCGAATTTCAGTGCCGAAGTACAACAGATATGCAAATACCAGCCTCAGAATTTAACTAGTCGAAAGTATTTTGCTGGTACATCTTGTAATAGTTCCCAGGATCGACTTTCTATTAACATCGGCATTGGAATATGAATGTGTCGTTTTCTTGTTCAGCAATGGCGAGGTTTTTAAACAGCATACATTTACTTCCACAGAAAAACACAACACAATACAACACTAGCTGACGTTTCGGCAGTATCGCCTTCTTCAGAGCCGCTTTTTCGTGACTTCCAATGAGGAAGTTTAGAACAGATGATTATAGTCGAATATGGTTGACGACAGACAAGCGGCTCTGAAGAAGGCGATACTGCCGAAACGTCAGCTAGTGTTGTATTGTGTTGTGTTTTTCTATGGAAGTAAATGTATGCTGTTTAAAAACCTCGCCATTGCTGAACAAGAAAACGACGCACTCAGAATTTATGTCAGCGGAGAAACTCATCTGAAAATATACTTTATATTCAATACGATTCCGTGTGAACTCTGAACGCTTGGTCTCCACGTGACATATTTAGTGGAAGACTCATAGAAAGCGGCTCTGAGGTAGGCGAAATCCGCCGAAACGTCAGGTTGTACGTAAATAAAGAAATAAAGTAACACATCGTCTTTGCTGAACAGAAGTAGAAAGAATTATTCATCTGAAAAGTTTTTTCTGTGTATTTCTAAACGTGGAGTTAAACTTTCCCTTGCTGATATCATCTGGGCCAGATAAACTATCGAATAATTGCAGCAAATTAATAATTGTAGTGTGAAAGTAACATGCACGAAAATAAACGAATGAAAAAGAGATGAGTCATATCTGGCTTACCTAGTTACCAATATGTTACGTGGGTCGTCTCTACGACCAGCAACTTATCATAGGAAAGAAGAAAAATGGAGCTAAATGATAAATAACCATAACTGTTAATATAAAAGCCACCTCCCAAACATTCTTTCCAGAGGATGTGCAATGGTGAAACGTGAGTGAGGCGATCCAACTCTTTTGTACAAAGATAGGATTGACACACCGTTGCCGCGTCCTGACCATATCTCTCATCTCTTCGAACTGGGAAAACTGGTACCAGACTTGTCTCGGAACGACTCTTACTCTCTGTAATCCAATTTGGAACGCTTCAGCCCGGCTATCCTAGGACTCGAGGAGAATTCCATTCGGCCAGCTTTCAACGAATTCGTAAAAAACACGAAACAGTAGGTGAACGCAAACGAGGAATGTCCGAAGACATTTGTAGAAGATGGACGGGAGTAGACAAATTGAATGCAAGAAGTGCTGAGATCCGCACCGTAAATGTGAAGACGAATGATTTAAAAACAACTGGTACCAGCTCTTGCTACGATATGGAACCGATAAGGGAAAGATTTTCCGTGCCACAACCTTCTTTCCAAACCCGAAAAATTCACGCTCCAGAAAAACCACCTCGGATCTGCTCCATAGAATCCCCGCGTCCAACCCTCTACCCAAAGCTCTCCTCCAATCCACGTGAAAATGCCTTAACTGGGCTATCTGCAAAGCTGCAAGAAGAATCGACTGAGATCAGCATTCCATTATATGCACAAAGGAAATGAAATTATCAAGTAGCAGCCGAAATAACCTCCGAAATGTTCGAAGACTACTGTGGACGACGAATACGAGGAAAACGAATCGAATGCAGAAGTAACTGCCACGACCGACTTTCTATTAACCTCGGCATTGATCAAGTGATTTTCTTCGTATTTTTGTTGAGCAAACGCGAGGTGTTACTATTCTTTGTTCACGATTAAGCTGACGTTTCGGCGGATTTCGCCTTCTTCAGAGCCTGGAAAGGTCAAGTTGATAGCAACTCACTCGGCCAGACGCCTCCATAATCAAACAAAGAAACTCCAAACCAAGATTTCAATCACTTTGAACACAGCTTTGCGCACTCACCGCTTTCTATGAGGTTTCCACTAAGTATGTCACGTAGAGACCAACCGCACAGAAATCACGTGGAAGTATAATGTGCCCCTTAGGGGGCATAGTTTATCTGATCTCCTGTAAGACGTGTGGTGACGAATACATTGGCGAAACGAGCAGACCCCTCTGTGTCCGCATGAAAGAACACCTAGCCGGCAAAAATAGACCAAATACCCCGCTAGGCACGCATAGGACCCAGAGACATAACGGGGACGACTTCGAAGTATGTGTCACGATCGTCGCACGCGAATCAAGAACACAGGCGCGAAAAACTCTCGAGGCACTCTGGATTAATTCCAGAAATCCGAAAATGAACCGCAGGGAAGAATGCCTCATTATCACGCGTGATATAGGGCAGTACATAAAACTGNAAGACGTGTGGTGACGAATACATTGGCGAAACGAGCAGACCCCTCTGTGTCCGCATGAAAGAACACCTAGCCGGCAAAAATAGACCAAATACCCCGCTAGGCACGCATAGGACCCAGAGACATAACGGGGACGACTTCGAAGTATGTGTCACGATCCTCGCACGCGAATCAAGAACACAGGCGCGAAAAACTCTCGAGGCACTCTGGATTAATTCCAGAAATCCGAAAATGAACCGCAGGGAAGAATGCCTCATTATCACGCGTGATATAGGGCAGTACATAAAACTGCTATTCTGATGGGAGGGGCACATTATGCTTCCATGTGATTTCTGTGCGGTTGGTCTCTACGTGACATACTTAGTGGAAACCTCATAGAAAGCGGTGAGTGTGCAAAGCTGTGTTCAAAGTGATTGAAATCTTGGTTTGGAGTTTCTTTGTTTGGTTATGGAGGCGTCTGCCCGATGTGCAAAGCTGTGTTCAAAGTGATTGAAATCTTGGTTTGGAGTTTCTTTGTTTGGTTATGGAGGCGTCTGGCCGGGTGGTTCTATCAACTTGTCCTTTCCTGGCTCTGAAGAAGGCGAAATCCGCCGAAACGTCAGCTTAATCGTGAACAAAGAATAGTAACACCTCGCGTTTGCTCAACAAAAATACGAAGAAAATCGAATGCAGAAGTGTTGGGACCCGTACAGATTTGATCTGACAATGGATCGTGTAAAAAAAGTTCAAAGATATGCTTTCTAATGTTCACAGGTTCGAACCTTGCTCAAAAAAATGTTCGAATTTCAGTGAAAAACATTGTAATAGGGAGAAGATCAAGAAATAATGGGAACAGGTGAGTTTAGCAATATTGATTTCCAAGTAGAAATTCCAAGAAAAAAAATCTGCCTCCTTTCCTGAGTTGTGTTCGTCGAAAATTAGAAATTGAGCACACAGATCGCAACAATGCCTCTAGTATCTTTACCATCACCTTCTGACTGTTTTTTAGACCTGACTTACAAAAAAGGAGAGCATTATCACAGAAAAGTACGCCCTAAAATAATATTTATAGTTCATAGACGTATAATGACAAACAAAGCAGAATGATAAGATAACAGAAATGTACCTGGAAAGTTGCAACAGGAGAGAAAATAAAACATTTTGATATGCAGACATCGATCAAAGTTAAGTAAGTGGGACGAAGTTCAACAATCAATTGGAAACCGCCGCGTGATGGAATGTATAACAGTGAGGACCTGACACACCTTAAATAAGTCTTGAAAATCATCATAGAAAAAATTACTTCTTCTTCCTTATTGGTGTCCGAGAATTGGCAGCGGTTGGCGTTGGTGTTGATCTACGTCTCACCTATAAATAGATTTTCCAGTATTTTCAATGGCGAACGAAAATGACTTTCAATAGCAAAACGTTTTGAAGTACACAACCAAACCTTGAGACAAATATTCCGCTATTTTCAATATGTCGCTTGCGGCTTACTAATATACTTATGTGATTTGCAATAAACCACTCCTTTTGTTAATTATCAAAGAATTCGTGTATAAAAGGTCTCGACGTTGATCAAACCCTTAGGGATGTGCCACGCATTTGCCTTCATTAAGGATCGTTTAGAGATAATTAGATGCATATCTAGCTTTAAGACTCGCGGTAGCCTACCGATGTCACGAACCATTGCTTCCATCCCTCCAGACAAGTATGGTACCAAACTTCCCGACCCCGGTGGGATAGAAGGCTTGCTGGGCCACGGACGCGGGAATCGATCTCATGTGTATTGCTGTTCACCTCCAACCATTGTCCTACACTCGCCCCTTGCGATTAGTACGGTAGAAAAGCTGAATACGGCAAATTCTTTCATAAAACATATGATTCTAGAAAACGGAAGTAAAATCGCGAGATCCAGAAAGTTTAGTAATTCTCAGGACTGACTCTCTATTAATCTCACCAACAATCAACCAGTTGATGTTTTCTTGATGAACAGATACGAGGTTATTAGAACAATATTTACTCCACAGTAGTATGTCGACGAACTTCTCTTTTTCTACAGCTTGGAGAAAGCCACATTAATACGCAATTTGTCCAGTCAAATACTTTCATAACTCTAACAGAAGGCACCCGAAACCTAAAGCAAAGTAAGACCACCGTTAAAGTATCATTTTAAAAACTAGATTTCAGTCTCAGGGTTTTTCGTATTTTTTCTGCCGACTGAGGGAGACCTGCTGCAAGGAATGCAAATAGTTCAAGAATGTAGCTACCCCAGGTAAAAAAAAGAGCCTGAGGTATGGGACGAAGTCACATATGATCACAAGGTACTCCTGTTGTCCATATTTTGGGTTCTGGAATTTATGAAAAATAGCTCAAGAACCTAACTAAATGATTCTCATGTGACTAGAACCTAGGTTTTGAGTTTCTCCTTCTACGGTTTAGTATTTTGTTGGGTATATTGCGTATCACTGTGACCATTTCCAGGCTTAAAGAAAGTCAAATCTGTCGAAACACAAGCCAATATCGAATAAATACTGCTTTTAAACCTCGTGTCTACTCACGAAGAAAACAATTCATTGAGAAATGGGTGCTAGGTCATGATCAGTTCATGAATGGAACCCTTTTTTCAAATTCAAAACGAAACAAGAAAACGTTATCGCAAGCAAATCTTGCAACGCTACTATGTCTTAAGGAAAAAAAACACTAAAAAGACAGCTAAATATGCATAAATAACGTGAACTATTTGCACTTAACAAATTCATAGAACTCTCGAGTCACTGAAAACACTGAATTGTAAATAGTGGAATTCTCTTACATCTTCTGCCCTACTTCTCCGGTGGTGCGCACGATAGGCATCCATTCTAGGATCCATCTGAAGTTAGAATGAAACAGTACTTGTTAGCAAAGAACTAACAGTTGGGAACTGGAGTCAGTTAGAATTAATAAGAAAGACATTTAACACCAACGTACAAGCACCATCCCTCACAAAAAGCGATACCGAGATTTCGCTTCGGTTCACATAAAACAAGGCAGATTTCATTACACGTACCGTGAAACAACATTCGACTACGGTATCCTTGCACATTTCCTTCGCATAGAAATTCACATCATGACCAGTGCTATTAAACATCACAGCATTCGTAAACATCATAAACACCCTAAAAGGTAGACGTCATAGCGACAACAATTATATTCGTTAAAAGCGTACAAAGAGGATTCCATTAAACGAACGAACTAAGTGAACAAACTTTCTCAGCAACATATTCGGATTCAGGGTAGTTCCACCATCTATTTCTTTCCTCAATGTGGTCAAATCGACAGAACTGGAAGCATAATCCACTTCGAAGATAAGCATAGAGTGTAATACCACTTACCAATTTACAATATTGCTATATCCCGGCGCATCTCTATCAGTAACAGGGTGAAGAAAGATGGCGGAATGTCTATGTTCGTGCAGTAAATTCCACGTTGACATCATTCTGCCCTACAACAAACAGACGAGTATCTGCAAACAGAACATAGAAATACATGTAGAAAAATATGACTACATATAGGAAGAGAGTGAAACACTGGATCTAATACATATAGTAAACAACTGACCTTCGGAGTAAGTACTGATCCTGACTTCTCCTCTCTACGCATCCTTTTTGATGGAGAACATACATGCAGTGATAAACTGCTCTTCTCGCCTAAGCTCTTGGAAAGAGCAAAGTTCTTTGCAACTGTAAGCATTTTCTTTGGAATGTATGAGCATCGGCGCAATAACTATTTGTGTGAAGAGCTACAATGAATTCTACAGACATGCACCAGAAAGCAACGCACCTTGCCAAGCTTCTTCGCTTAAATCAGAATAGGACACTTCAAAAAGTTGAGTTCTATCCTCTGGAAAACTAATACGGTACGACTTTCTAGAGATCTGAAAAGTGTAACTTATCATTGCTTTGTTTACTAAAGCATATCCAAAGAAATGATTACAAAGAAACAAACTATCACTTGTATTACAACAACGGCAATAAGACACTTGGGATAATTACCAGAGGTGTCGCAACTGGAGTGGTTGGAACTGCTTTGTAATACATGCGTGGTCCCTGTTCGACACTACACCGGGTCAACCAAGCTTCCCATTTCTCCGGAGATTTCAAGGAAAAGTTTTCTTCGAACAACAAGGATTGGAGAATCCCTGGGGCAAAGAATAGGTACGATTTATCGGAACTAGCACTATACGAAGGATCTCCTTCACGGAGTGATCTCTAGCCGATTAATCGCGAGGCTACGTGGAACGTCCAAAGGTGACGGATAGTGGTACAAACGCGGAACGAAAGTGGTCATGTGTTTCCCAGAGAGAGGTGGATTCAAGTAGTGGAATTAATTCCTGCCGCACTGCCGATTTGGTACATATCTTCTGTGTTTATCAAAAGATATTCATGCATACGTGCAAGGGTATGTGGTGGTTTATGCTAACTGTATTCTACGAGTCAACTCGGCCAAAAGCCTGCAATTAAGCAACAGGGAGGTAAATGAGAGGCGGTTAGGAGTCGCCTCCAAAAAATAAGCTCTCCGTCCACTCTGGGAGAGACTGACAAGCTACCAGTGAGTACATCCAATCCCACATTTAGCCTCAAGCAAGCCATACATGGGTGTCAAAAACCAAGCACAGTGAAATAATTGGGCCTCATCCTCCTGACCGCGAATGACCCTTTGCTACAGCAATATTTGTTAGGACGGGTACGGAAAAGCTGCTAAAACCGTATAGTCGTTCTAGGCCGCTTAAATCTGGAAGTAATAAGGTGACGATCTGTACCTACAATGCACGCACACTTGTACCTGAGTCCTTGATAGAAAACTTGAACATGCAGGCAAAAAACGTAAGCTACGACATCATCCACGAAGTCTGACAGAACACCGTTGAAGAACTGTTCCTTGGAACATACAACAATAAAGAAGTCGGTGGTGCCGGTGTTCTTCTCAACACAAGTTTCGCAATGAAGATCGATTCATACGGACAACTGATAACCAAAATCGGCTGTTTACAACTGAAGAGATGTAGATCTGGATAAAAAATTATCTACTACCATTGCTTAGAACGTCATGGGAATATTGGAACGGGACAACATGGGAGTGAATGAAAATCGCTGGTCTGGAACTATTATATCATCTTCGCTTTGCTGATAATATCGTTCTCATAACACCAAGCTAGGCGAAACGGATGCTGGCCAAAGACGTTGGTGGAAAGATTGACATTCGACAAAGTCTTACAAAAATGATGAATTTAACAGGCTGGGAATCTAACATGATAAACGACCAAACTTTAGAGCCAAGCAGTAGGGAGTGAGCTGCTTGCAAGATTTCAAAAACACCGAAATATATTGGGACGACAAAGAACAGTCAATTTCAAGCCTATCTTTTCAACTCAGGGATCCTTTGCACCGCATGATACACGCGCTAAACAAGGTGATTAGAAAGGCAGGATGACCGATCAGACAATGTTACTGAGCTCGTAGACGAGAGGAGAATGCTGGCAGTATCCCGTCTCACAATACGAGAGCGAATACAAATGCCCAACCTACACTGACGGTCAACAATCATAGATGCTGTTCTACACACCAAGTTGTCCAAAATCAAGTGGCCTGAACATGCAATGCGTCTTAGCAACCAATAGAGAAGAACTGTTAGCGACCGGATTCCTCACGATGTCAAACGCAGAGAAAGCACACCACCGACCATATGGTTAATGTTCTTAATGAGAACCCTAGAAGAAAGATGATGCTCAACTGGTCCCTACAGCGAACTGAACACGCTGGGCTACCACTACACGCAAAAGAAATGGAAGGTTTATTGGCCCCGCTCGAGTCAATCGACGATCAACTGGTGATGCAGGTGATCACGATTCCATAACGAAGCGATCTGGCCAACACTAAACGACAAATGCGAATGAGACAAGCTCCTCAATTGGCAGCTCAACTCACATGTAAATTCGAAGATTTTCGTAGATGATGAAAGCAGGAGAACAAAGCGAATGAAAGAAGTGCTGGGATCATCACAATATATGGACTCGAGCTATATAAATGTAATTCCAAAATGTATGAGGCGTCAAACATGTAGTGAATCCGGAAATGTATCCGGAGGTTAAAAATTCAAAAAAATATTCCAATTTCCTTTTTATATAGGATAATAATCTATGTCTCCACATACGAAAAGAAACTAACATTGCTATTTAGAATGTCGTCCCAAGCTACCACTCTTGAACTTTGGTCATTTTCACAGTGTACCTAGAAACATTGACAAAATTCGGTGACAAATGTTTAAAACATTTCCAAGCACAAACCGCTTTTACTACGACGTCTCTATCACTGTTAGTGCTAGAAGATGGTATCGATGCGTTGGGTATCAGCATCATTTCACTCAGCGGTGATTGAACGGAGAGCTTAATGTCAGTGCATTTTATCACGGTAGAGATACGATTTTTGGAATTTTGAAGTGATTCAGACTCTTACATTTTCATCAAAATCAATTTTAACTGGATCAGTCTCCACAGCAACATCACAGCGACTCAATCCTGAACCTATTGTACTTGTCGCATTTGAACTTCGACGATCATGTCGAGAAGATTTTCGACTCTGAAGAAATCAAATTGCGCTTAGGAAATTATTACGAAAGGAAGTCCTTACTGCGACAACGTTTCCACCATAACCAGGGCTCAAGCGAGCCTGAATAGAAATAGCTGTTTGGGTAGCTGTGCCACCAGACTCATCTACTACCAAATTTGGCGGTGGGGAAAGTGTTAGATGAGTTCCCACGTCTGTACTGAGGCGTCTAAAACACCAAAACGTGGCATAAATCATCACGCATCACTTGTCAACGAAAAACGTCAATTTATGTGCACAATTAATTGATCAAGAACGAAAAAAAAATTAAAAGAATATTTACAGACACCTTTTTGCGGTATCTCGCTCTCTACTTCCCTCCTTTACATCCATAAGATCTGCGCCAGAGCTTGTTCGGCCACTGCTAGAAGTTTTACTGAGAAGTGGAGAATCTACTGGTGCCGGTCGACGAGCACCTCTTACGCGGCTGAAAACAATATTAGTAAGGGTTTGGGTATGACAAATCATTCTTGACATCGCATATCCTACAACAAACTACTCAAAAATTTTCGAAATATCCTAAACAGAAATAAGTTATAGAACATTATGAACACAAAAGGAAAAGGAAATCTGAAGAAAAAAAGCTGGAAACTCGTAGACACTTAACCCACCCAGCCGGACTATCGACGACTTGAATAGCATCTTTTTCTGGCGTAACTGGTGTTAGTGTCGATTCATTGCGACCACCACTGCGAAGCGTCTCAGATCGTGTAGGTGACTTCGCCTCTTCTGAGTTATTCGCGATAGATGGCGACGACTCTCGAGGTGGTGTCGAAGGATCCTTAGTAAACGTTGCTACGATTGCAAATTAAACTGCTGAAGTTAAGAAACGAATATTCTTTCGTAAACGAAGACAAAATAATATGCGGAGCAAATTAGTCTCTCAAATTGCATACTTTTTTGGACAGTCGGCCACGAAGACGTTTTGAACAATGGTCACCTTGCGACAGATCTTTTGATGGTGAATCCATAGAAGCGTCTAATTCCGATGACACAGCAGGTTCATCCACCTCCATTTTTTCCACCTAAACTTTTACAGTACGATGCAATGACATGTTCCTCCTAAACACATAAACCAAAGTTGTTACTAAACAAATGAACAGTACAAACTTGATCATTTTCCAAGTTTAGAAGATGCATATCTCCTCCACCACTCGTCCCATGAGAGGAGTCCGCAACTGGAGATTTAAGTGCACAACTAAACCATTCAGATTTTAAGTTCAAAGATTTCAGAAAAAAGTTTTGACACGACAAAAAATCCTAAAAATCATGGTAATTCTTCGTGCCCTTCTATTCTTTACGGTTGTGTTTATGCGTGGACAAGCATGCGACCAACAGCGTACTTATTTGTCCTTTCGTGAACTAATTCCCAATCTCATGTTAGAAAGCATCTTGTGAACTAAGTATAATTTGCACGCCAAAATTCTCCAATGTAAAAAGGCAAAGGGCTATTTCACATACCGGAAACTATTTCGTAACTAATTATAAATGAAGCCATTGTGAGAGTAAAAGATCTATAAAGTGTTCAGGAAATCTGAATCGCAAGCATGAGCAACAAAGCATGTTCAGTAATCCATCATTTCATTCCATATTTCTTTGCCGTTTATATTCAAGTATTCTTGTTGGAGTCTTCATAACTCCGAAATATTAGTGCAAACACATGTGGCGACAATCGATGACGAATAAAAAAGAACAAACAATCATTGAAACGTGTCATTCATACGTTTATCCTCAGAAATGTCAGCATATTCACTTCCATCGATAAGAAGGTAAGATAGTAGTAACGTTTCGCATATACAAGAAGAAAATTATGGACAGTGATAGATTTATAATAGAAGATTTGCGGTTTTGACGGTTTGCCAATTCCAACGAAAATGTGGATGACAAGCAATCTTCTTTCACCACTTAGAAATTGTGGTTTAGGTACTTCAAAAATATAAGAGAAAGATTAGCCGTAACTGGAAGAGCAGGAGGTAAGAGTTACTGTTTATGGTAATATAAGCTCATAAAATGTAGAAAAGAAAGCCGATTATGGTAACAAACAATTGGCCAATAATTATAAATATAAACCTGTCAGGAGAATGCCGCTCGGTGTCCAAATCATTTGATTTGTGATCAGCCGGCCCTGATGATGAGTGTCGACCAGGAGATGGCTGAAATACAAGCATTAGGGATGAAGCATTATTGACACAAGTACAGTGACCAAACATGTTTACTAAGTCATAACTTCTTCCTACTAAAATTCAAGTTATTAAATAAACAGGTTACACACACTACCGGAATAGTCTTATGTCGCTGCTTATAGAACAGATCAGCCACGTGCTTGTAATAAATCACTCCGACACGTTCTTGTTTCTCAGCTTCTTCTTCGTCGTATTCGACCGAAAAAGGACTACTTTATTTAAAAATGTTAAACACTAAGCGCATCCAGTTATTAAAAAAAATCAAACACTTTTCACGATGAATGTGACCATACGGAAACATCAAAGAGAATTAGAGTATGCTAAAGCTCTATTCTAAGACAGAATAAAACAAACGTTGTAAATACCTCATGCAGATCCTGACAGCTTTGTGTTGAACTCCAAATGTAAATTTCTTTTTCCTCCTTTTTAATACTTTCTAACATGGCTTCCAATTGTTCTGTAGTAAACTTTTCTCGATGACCCCATGCAGCCATCAATCGCTCCTCCTGAATGAATAAACTCACTGACGTGTTAAAACTTAATTGATTAGAAAATTCTGTATAACCTGTAATAACAAAAAACGGAGTTTGCGACTCTATCAGCCTTATGTAGGAGACAAACCAGCTGTTCTAGTGCCATTTGCGAATGAATTTGCATGAAATTTCCCAATACAGCAAACATAACGTCAACTGGCTTTGCATGCATAATATAATTGTCTAGGCAGACTTTGTCTAGGCTGACCTTTGGCTGACCCCCACCAAGGAACAACAGTAGTTCAACCAGAAAAATTCCGAAAAGTGGAAATTATGCAGGACCCACACAGCAAGTGAAAATGGGCCATCCAAATATCGAAGTATAGAAAACGTCCGGAGTTTCGCAAATATTTCAGCATCACTGTGATACAAACTTACGTAAGAACGAATTTTAGCACTCATAAACTGGCCATACAATGCAGCGTCCTGTCGTTCCTAAACAGCATACTAAATTACGAATGATGTTTAGTGGTTATGAAATAAAACAGATGAAACGTGATAATGAAACAGATGAATTTCTATTCTAATACACCAATTCACCAACAACATCAGTTTCAAGATTACGTCTCCAGTATATTCATTTGCTTTCATGTGGTTCACACAAGTGTTCAATACAAAGTTCAGCAATCTTGTTATTTAAAATAACAAAGGCTATTCACTAGTTTACTGTAATGCTTAATCCATTCATCTACGATGGCCGTCCTATTATATCCCGTCCCTGTGGGCACGTCAGAGGGACATGGCTCAGCCATAATTCTGGCCAATTGCTCCTTGCAGTTCTGGAAAAAAACTCTCAAACTACACTTTACTACAATCTTAGTAGTAACAAAAGTGGAAAAGGTTCATGTACGACTTTAACTATGTAAACCAACTAACATCTGCAGTGTAAAACCCTTTCGGTCTTCTCTCAACACGAGAGTTCCTAGTAGATTCCATTTGTGCTGCAGCTCGAATTTCCCTTGAAAAAACAGTACTATTTCCTGATCCAGATGGAGCCATTCAATAAACAAGATTTAAATCGAATGTGGCAAATGTCCACTAAAAATATTGCAATGCAATGTGAATATTGCAAATATTCACACGTTTCTATCTAATAAATTAAAGGGGAAATGGCGTTGATGCAAAAAACATGGAAAGAAAAAAAATCTTCGGCAGAAGGTCGGCTTGATGCGAAAAATCTTTTTCCGCTTGTTTACGACAATAACTATGATTTATACCATTTGTACGATCATTTTTTCATCACGTTGTTGTACAGACTCCCAAATAACTATATTTCACATATTAAAGTGGCGTGAAAAAGCGTGAAAAAGAAAAATTAAAGTAGACAAAATTATACATTATCACACCATAGCAATTTCTCGGTAGAGCGCACACATCAGTGGCTAAGGGTACTCAGCAAAACATGTTGGTTTGATACAGCACCCTGAGCTCACCAAGGTATCCATTCCTACGAAGTCACTAAATTGTTACCAAACTAGTAAAGACGACACCACTGGCTTGATACATCGTTACACCACCTCAAGTATGGGCCACATGTGCATTCATTCACCTCGACGTTGCTCAATGAAGTCGAACACACGGTGCATCCTCCAGGGACTGATCAGCACCGAGATTTTCTTTTTTATGCATTACGTTGATAACCATGTTGGGGGCGTGTGGCGCAGTGGTTGGAGGCGCCACTGCGACACACATGTGGAATCGGTCCCGGCGCCCATGGCTCACCAAGCTTTCCATCCATTCGGGGTCGGAAAATTGGTACTGGATTTGTCTGGAAGGATAGGAGCACTGGCTCGATACATCGGTAGGCCACCGAGAGTCACTGTAAAGGCCAAATACGCATTCATTCACCTCCAACGATACTTAATGAAGCCGAATGCATGGCGCATCCGCAGGAATTGATCAACGTCGAGAGCTTTATCCCATTTTATGCATTGCGTTTGTTTAAATTGTTCAGATAACGCAAGGTTGTTTCACAGCTTTCATCCGGCTAACGTCTCGACGCGTTCTCCTTTTCGACAACCGCTGTTCTGGATCGATTTCTAACACTCGTTGTTCTCCGCGTTGTGAGTCTTCACGTTCGAATCGAGTCCAATCTTCTTGATTTGAGCACAATTAGCATCCAACGCTCGAAACGTTAGCCCAGTAAAAGTTACATAATAACCTCGTGGAAGGTGAACAATCTAAACAAATACACCATTTACGTCAGGTCAAGTGAACGTCATCTAGTAAAACTTTGTTCTAATTTCACGTATCACGCTTCACCGCAAAAAATTAAAACTGAAAATACTTCAAGACCTACCATCCTTCCTCCATGTCCGACTTATAAATCGTAAGCAGTGTCCATAACTCCAGATTCGTCCATGGCTTCCACGTTGACGTCATTACTGACCACTATGAGACAAAGTATCTGACAGGTGCGATTTTTGGCCAAGCCTCAATAATCGAAAAAAATGGCGAAAGCTGTCAATAAAAACTAACGACATCATCGCAGTAATCAGCAAATCGAACCGCTATGTAAACTGTTACGTAAGCACAACAGAGTCCCTCCCAACGGTTAACAGTTCGTCGTCGCTGGGAGATGTTCTTGGGTGCTCGGCTGCGATGTACAACGGAGGGATCTATCCCACGACAGGTTCTCCCATGCTGAGTCCGGCGTTTCCACCATGAAACTCAGCGGGGAGTAATCCAATACCAGGATCCACCACTGTTCTCGTATCAAACCAATGGGATGCCGGCAAATCTTCCTCTGATCCACAAGGGCGGCGACAGCCTATGGTGGTGACAACCTGGGGCAGTTTGCCCTGGCTGAGCTCGCGACTGCAGGGAACTATAAAACCACCAAAACTCCGAGAAAAATGGAAATTATGGTGGGGTTCACACAACCAGTAAGGATAGGCGGACTAAGTATCCAAGTAAGTATAGACAGTCGTAAATTTACACACTGCAGAATTACAGGGGTACGTTTGAAATGGAATGAAGAACGGCGATAACGAGCTTTTTCACCGTATCGAAGATAAAATAATACTATAGAAGAAGTCGGAACAATATGTGCAGAACATGCAGCAAACGGAACTTACAAGAGTAATGGCAATTCTGAAACCCTTTATGAGAATAGTTTGCTGTTTTTATCCGAGAAACAAAACAGCAGTACAACATAGGAAAGTTATTCTCGCTGCAAACACAGTTCTCATAATAGCATACACAAAGACGAAATTAGATGATTGTGAAGAAAAAGTAAGAAAAGAACAAGAAAAGACGTCATAAGGATGAATACAAGTTACAGATAAAAAAATTATTAGAACTGGAATGTCAGGTAGAATGGATACAGATTAGAAACAGGTTAGCACAGCCGTACAATTTCAACTATTCCTACATCTAAACCTAAAAGAAAAACAGTGGTAAGTGATGGAAACATTAGGATCGCACCACAAACGTAGGGAGACGCAAATACACAGCCTTTCTTTAAAAGTGGTGCTCTTTGAGCAAATATCTTTCCAACGGTATCTGGGTCCTAGTAAAATTCGTAGCCTTATAGGCAATGAAAAAGAGCTACAGTAGCCTCTTAGTTTCACACACAGAAAATGCTTTAGAGTAATTGCTTGTACATAAATGTTAAACGACCGGCAAACCAGATATACAGGTAGTCTCACTGTATTTCGCGACGTCTGATCTCGCTTTGAAGACATTGGAACAGCTCCTGTGCTCCATTTGGATAAACGTCATCGTTGATGTGAAACCTGAGATAAAAGAAATACTAATGCAGATATTTAAGTCACACAAAAGCTGTAACATTGGAAACACGACCCATGCATGCTATCTAATCCACTAACGGATTTTCAGCAACCGACATGGCAACAGCAGCAACAACAGGTTACATAGTTCGAGTCTACGATATTGGACCCTACCATAAAAATTAATCCAGAACGATAAATAAGGAAATTGATTATAAGGGAAGTGTCGATGGTGTCGAAGTAAACGTAGATGAGAAAGAGCGAAAAGAAAGAAAAAAAAAATCGCCGGAGGACGTATGGAACAATGATAAGCTCACAAGAGAGATTTTCTAAAATATTCCTCAACAGGGCGAGAACGACGAAACTGCTTTCTTTCATAAAAATTGCAGATAGTTCCACCTATTCATTAATATTGCTAATTTTCAAAATTATTGATTTTTGCTTTCAATTCATACAAACTCGAAAGCAGTTACACTTTTCAACAAGCATATGTCAACCCATAATGAAAATTATCCGTTGAAATGAAAAACTGTGGAATCCAGAGTTAGTCAACAAGATGGAAGTGTTGTTAGTTGACGGTGGTAACGGTTGGACGTTTTGTGAAAGTTTTAACCTTAGATCTCTTAAAATGTAAACTACAACACCGAGAACTTATCACTTTTCTTTCAAATGTACAACTGAATCTAAATCACAAGTTATTAACTGTGTAAGTTCTCTAGTCACCGAAAGCTATTACAAAACAGACATTATCCCCTATGTGGCGTAAACAATGCCCAATTTTTGATCAGTAATTAAACATCTCCTCGTTTACAGCTATGGTAGGTCGTCATGCTTATCGCATAAGTGGAGATTAGAAATAAGCAATACATTCTACATAAGGCCCAAAATTCTTCCTCGTTCTGACAATAACGTGTTTGGAAGCTGAACGATAGTTAAAAATGTTGTACATAGCAGCAATATTATAGTTCTAGATGAACAGAGCAAAACATCTATAATTACGTGTTCTCAACCCTGTAATGCAACAACAGAACTCAACTTGACTTAACTCAAGAGTATATTCTTTACTTTCGAGAAAATCCACTATTCTCATGGTTAAACCGCGAACAAGTTCACGGTTTTTTTTGGGAGTTCACGAAATTAAGAGCGGTCGCACATGTGTTACCACTCTTGTGATGAGTGACACCTATAGATATCATAACGGCTTTGCGAGTGTGGTCGGTGTGATGATATCCATAGGTTTCATTTTTTTTCCGGCAATTTATTTTAACATATAGAATTGTTTCCCATACTTTTTATTATCGACTGGCTTATAGAACATAGATGTTGTGTTAGGTGTTAGTACGCAAAGACCCTATTCTGTTGTTAGAAATATACGAAACACCCCTTATATAATGCTGACATATTTGCAAAACTCTGAACCGCAGGTGTATGCGGTGGGGAACGAACGCGCGCTATTGTCCATTCCGGGGAGTAGCGCACTTCAACACCACACCATCCGGGTCCTTCGTTTTGCCTGTATATATATATATATATATATATATATATATATATATATATATATATATATAATCCGTCACAGGCAGTAAATAAAAGGGTTAAGATTGTGATTATAACTAAACCTTAGCTTAACTGGGTTCAATGTCGATTTGGGCTCCCCAGATCAATCCCGTTGACGGGTGATTGCTGATGGTAAAAGATCAATAGAACTAGCTGAGAGACAGGCAAAACGAACGACCCGGATGGTGTGGTGGTGAAGTGCGCTATTACCCGGAAAGGACAATACGGCGCGTTCGTTCCCCATCGCATACACCTGTGGTCCGGAGTTTTGCAAATATCTCAGCATTATGTACGAGTTATATTTCGCAACACACCCTGCCATTAAAAAGAAAAAAAAAGGCAGTAAATAAAAGGGTTAAGAATACGAAATACCGTTCCCTGATGAGTTCACCTGCCACAAAAGAAAAGCTTTGCTAATCGACTACTATTTCAACTCTAATTTCTATAGTCAATGAGAATTCGTATGGAGCGTGTGGGTATAAAAAATACTGAAATGGAGACCCATAAGTTGCAGAACATTTCAAATGCTGACAGTAATGTGTCTGTATGACGGACCATAATAACAAATGGTAAATAGCATTATAAATATCATTCGTACTCATAGAATGATCCTCATAACCAACGAAGTCCTCTAGTTATCGAGAAATTTCATTGTTTATTTTCAAAAAAATCAGCAAGCCCATAAAGGCCAAAAATTTGGCGTCGTTTAGT